TTAATGAGAGATCAATAATATGGTGCAATCAAACATTGAGATTTCCATTGATATCATATGTGTACAATAATTATTGAGAAGCCGATAGAATATTAAATAAGTGTTCTAAACATTTGACCTATTTAGCATCGGACGATGATATGATGATCAAAAGTTCATTTTCATCGCGTTACTATTTCTGACATAGGTATGTAAAGTTCGTTGACTCGTATATTCCGGAGAATATAATATTGCATACCCTCGAATAGAGATCGTAGTAGCTTTCCCAACATTTTGAAGAAGCTGTTACCAAGGCAAGGTTGACGAGTAAATTGGATGATGTCTACCATCGTTCAAAGGACAGGTGAGTTTAATGAATAACAAACATTCAGGTCCAAAAGTGAACTCCAATCCTCCACAGAATTCGATATCAGTCGTGAAGTTACGCGTATCCGCTACGAAAAGCTAATGGAGGACTGGTGTTCTTGCCAGAAACAGTATTTCATATGATTATTATAACAGCGTAATCAACAACTTGCATAATAGTGGCAGTGATTCTCATCATCTCAATTTATGTGTTTGAAGTATTCATGAAATCACTAAGCAATATCAGAGATAGTATTTCTCCCATCTAACGCGAGAAGTCACCTGCTTGAAGATTCTGTCCGACAACCCAATTAAGATCTGTTGCTTAAAAACAACATCTTGTGTCAGAAATGCACAAAAAGTCAGAACCTTTCGTAGATTAAAAGGTGCTTGTGTGATTTATTAGTGCACTTGCTATGAACTGCTAGCCAATAAAATATCAACAAATTGAGGGCACGTCCGTACTGAGAAGCAGCAAACCCATGGATCAGAGTGCTTCCCAGCTAGGATCACCACCTCCGATTTGTCACAGTCCAGAAAGGCTGGCACCGCCCCGACTGCCCCCTGTGAGTTCGGTAATACATAGGTCAACACCGAAATGGACGGAACAAAATTTACCATTCTCCAATATTCTGCTGCGTGGCGTGTTTGTACTCACATGCGGTATGAGTCTCTTAGTCGTGATGTGCGATGCTTGGCAAGGCGCGTGAATTAAAGTGATTCATAGTTCGAACATGACACTCAATTCTCTTTATATATCAAGAGTAAGCTATCTAATAGGATATACGCTCAGTATTAAATCTCAAACAATATATACGTGTTTTCGAGCGCAACTGGATTAGTATGATTGCAATACTATTCCTACGTGAGAGCTCATAAGGTTCTATTTAACATAGAATAATAAAGGTCCTGCAAATTACTTTGTAATCCTCTTATAGACAACCCGTCATACAGAGTACAAGGTTCAATCAATAAAGGGAAATGACCCACAACCCGTATGTTGCATCCAGATCGTCGGTTATCTCATCCGGAGCGCGTCACAATATTTTCAAAATCCAATCAAATGTCAGAAATCTAAACTCTACAGTCAGATCAAAAAACAAAATCCTAGAAACTCCACAAAAAATCTCAAAATCCCAAAAATCTCAAAAAATATTCAAAATTGAAATCATCCACCGTATTTAAAGTTAAACCCATTACCTCAAAAGTCTGCAGGTTGACAAATTCAATAAACTCTAGCTCAACAAAGAGCAAAATGCCTAGTCAAAATATACTAGGATCCATTCTCAAAATCTCTTGACCGTAGGGTTGCTTCGTGTGTCCATCGATCGGCGTCGAGTAGAGAAGATCGGTATAGGGCTGTTGGAGTTGGACGGGAGGAAGAGGAAGTAGTGATCGTTTGGGGCTTCCGATCGAAACAAGCAGAGAGCTAGTGCGGAAGTAGCGAACGAACGCCTGTTTGGCGTTGCTATTTAACAACGAGGATGGGGCAGCGACCGAGAGCCAAATTTCAGCAGGAATCGCGGGAGAAGCGACTGATTCGGCGATGAACAGCGGGATTTCGGCATGTATTATGGAGGATTTCGTGGATTCAGCGGGTGCAAGGTTTTTACGCTAGATTTCTTCCTCCATTCTTTTTTTTTGTTCTTTATACAGAGGTTAACAAATGCCCCCCAACAAATGTGGTTCGCGTCTAGAGCGGATCACGTTTGTTATAAGCTGATTGACCTTATGGATCTCTAGATATTTATTCTAGATGTCACACTAAGGCTTTCATTTAGTGGATCTCCAAAATTTCAATTGGATGTCGCACTAAAATTTTCTTTTAGTTGATCTCCAAAATTTGTTTGGATGTCACACTAAGATTTTCCTTCTCCATAGATCTTCTTCGATGTATCAATAGATGATTGAGATATTGATTTCTTTTGCCCTGTGCTTTGTGATGCGGACAATGATGGAGAATTTTTTGATTTGTCTTTATTGATTTGTGAGGTGATTTTTGTACCTTCAGCCATATGCTTCTAGCTTTGTCGGGCTTGATGAAGGAGTAGATGCCAATGACCTAACCCCTGAGGTTTATATTAGGTCGATGGCGAAAAGTCATCGGTCCAGAGCTTTGTGCATAACGGACTTGTTGATGATAGAATCCACTTAGTTAAGCCATAGGCTTTTCACGAACTTTGGGATAATTTTCTTCGGTCATATGCTTTGTGCCTTGGCGGACTTGTTGAAGAAAAATTCCTTCGATCATCGTTTTGTGCTTTACGGATTTGTTGAAGGATTTGCGGGTTCTGGATTTAGTTGATAGTACCGAATGTAAGTAGTATCTTGATCCTTAACCACTTGAGAAGAC